TTGGATACATTCTTTACAAATCCAGCTTCCTTATGGTCTTTGTTCTCGATGCAGCTAGAATATGAGGATTTTGCGAATATGTACACTTGCGGATATGTTCTTGAACATTCTTTTTCTTTTCCTTTCTTTTTAATTATTAAACTCAATGACCAATGCATCGTGGCCTAATATCAACTTAATGCGCGGAGGAGCGTGGATACTTTAGGCCAAGCAAGGTTCCAGGCACCAAACGCTTTCATTTCTACCGAGAACCAGTTGGGTGGGCATCAGCGGAACTGCGACTAATCATTTGTTTACATTGTGCAAGGGGATGCGACTGTGCGCGCGGTAGCAGTTAAAGCTATCCTATCACCTCCTATGAGCTGGCCAAGATTCAGAGGCATTTCAGCAAAAACAACAAAAAATCAAGAAATTGATTATTAACTTTAAAAGATGTGATTTTCTTGTTGTTTTCCCTACCGCCAAAAAGATCGACAGACCCATTGCATGAAATGTTAATCGTGAAGGAAGGTTACAATCGTATTTAGCACTTGGTGGGCCATCATGGCTCCATGAGCAAGTGTATCAGGAAATGAGTTAATTCTGAGTTAACAATTTGTAGTATAGGCCATGAATGTATTCTGAGTTAACAATTTGTAACATGTGATCGTTACTTTTTGTCCTAAAGCGAAACCATCATTGATATAGTCCATCTGACTTTATGTCTTTTCCTTCTTCCACAGAGTAATGAAAATCAAAGAGCCATTGATTGGTCCATAATCCATAATCCACTGATTGGTGTGACAATAAACATCATCTTCATTCTTTCACTTTCACATTATTGCAACAAAAATCACAAACTTTAGGAAGAACCATGGAAACAAAATTGAAGCCATAGTTGTTTACCAAATAAAAAAAGAAGCCATAGTTATGTATCCATGGCTTCATTCACTTTTCACATTATCTATGCCATTGATTGGCATAATCCATATGTCTATGAAAACCTCAAAAATCAGTCTCATAATTAGAGAGACGTGCGACTCTAAAACCATATCATTAAACATCATCTTCCACTTTCACATTCTTGTTTTCATTCTTCTAACAAAGCTCTGAAATCCGCAAAAGAGCCATGGAAAAACAAGATGCCATAGTTTTGTATCCAGCACCGCCAATAGGTCACTTAGTGTCCATGGTTGAGTTAGGCAAACTCATCCTCTCCCAAAACCCATCTCTCTCCATCCACATCATCTTAGCTCCACCTCCTTACCAGCCGGAATCAACCGCTACTTATAT